TCTTCTCTACTTTCTCACAGGAAGGCCTTCAAGCATGTGAAGACGACCCTGCATTCCCAGGAGTCTGTGGGCCCCATTTTGAAAAAGTCTGTAAGACATTTGCTGCCAAAGAAATCGTAAACACAACACAAATGTGGATCTGAATTCCTGGCAGTAATCATTTATAAACTAGTCATCCAGATGTTCCAGAAAATACTCATCTTATTTTCCGTAGATTATCATCGAAAGGAAAACATTAAAGTTAAAGTGGTCTCACAGAACTGAGACCCTTGCCATCAAAATGAGACGGTAACCCACATTTTCAGAAAATATCTTTGCCTATATCATAAATTAATAAATTGGACCACCCAAAGCTTATTTGACTGCCAACAATGCATTTAAAATAGCCCTGAAATGCAGCCATCCACTCAACTGTACCTCATAAACCATCTTTTGGTGAAGCCTAAGATGATAATGATTATAAGGTATACTGTTATTTTACATATGAATAGGAAAGAAAAAATGTTAATTAGAAGTCCTTGATTTAAATGTAGGAAAAAAAAAAGGCTTAGCATGGGTGGGAAAACCCAGGGCATAGTGTAGTGAGTGAGAACATGATCCTTTGACTCACTCTTCTGTCTGACAGCAGCCCTGCTCCTTGCTAGCTGTGGCCTGGGCAAATCACTTCACCTCACTGTGCCCCAGTTTATCTGTAAACTATATCTATTTGATATCAATGATACACACCTCACTAAACTCCTGAGAAAATTAAATACGATCCCGTTACAATACCTAACATGGTACCTAGTGCTTACTAGCTGTCTTATTGCTGTTGTTACTATAAATGTGGCAAGAGTGGAATTAAGAATTTAACAAATCTTAATCGGTTTTCTTTCATCTGAATGAGTTCTCCTCGTCTCCGTTGCCAAATCTTTAGACATTGCTTGAAATAAGTGGTAACCCAGGTGCCTCCTCAGTGCCTTAGTGTTCTTAAAAAAAAAAAAGAAATTATCTTCTAAAATGGAGTCAGAGCCTTCTTAAACTAAAGAATCAGAGCCCCCGGAGCTGATGACTGAAACACAATGTATGATAGTTTGCATATTGCTTTTCGTGACAGTTGCAAGCTACCAGGTTCATTTTGCTTGAAGTGAAAATCCACCCACCATCTGCTTCTTGCCTGTGATCTCCTAGGTGCTGAGGTGGCTGCCTCTGCCTAGAAAAAAATGAAGCAACTGGCACGCTTCAAGCAGTTAGTCAGCCATGTGCCTTTGTGGCTGGCGACCTCACTGAGTAAAGAAGGGTGAGTCTGTTGATTAGAGACCACTAGTCGCTGACTTAAAAACTTCCCCTGAAGCAGGCTGTCTTTCAGGAATGTTATTCGTTGTTGTGCGTGCTGTCAAGTTGATTCCACTCATGGCGACCCTACAGGACAGATCAGAACTGCCCCATAGGGCTTCCTAGGCTGTAGTCTTCATCGGAGCAGACTGCCAGACTTTTTCCCCCATAGAGCCGCTGGTGGGTTCGAACTGCCGACTTTCCTGTTAAGCCAAGCTTAACCATTGCGCCACCAGGCCTCTTCTCTCAGGAATACAATCCTGATACACACGCGGTTCATGGTAAATCAGATGCTACATGGCTCACTGGAAAATAGTTCCTGACTACCAGTAGCTTCCAAATCAAACCAGTGCAAACTTCTCTTTTCCTGAGCGTGAATGTACAATAAAGATTTACTTTCACTCTCAGAACTGTCAAGATTTAATGCAAACATACAGCAGCCAATATCTGGCAATAAAGAAGAAAAATTAGCACTTAATCAATCAGGGCTCTGTTGCTGGAATCTTCTGCCAACTCTAATCATTTGTTTAAATTGAGTCTTTGGATTCATAGCTGCTTGTTCATAAGTGAGAATGGACCTCTGCTTCCCAGGAATACTCACAGCTGGTGTTTCTCGGGAATAACTAAGTATTTTAACAAACTCAGATACTCACATTGTTGTTGTTAGGTGTTGTCAAGTTGGTTCTGACTCGTAGCAATGCTATAGGACAGAGCTGAATTGCACCATAGGATTTCCAAGGAGCAACTGGTGACCTTTTTGGTTAGCAGTCGTAGCTCTTAAACACTGCGCCACCAGGGCTCCCATAATATATTACTAGTATGTAAACTAGGCAAAGACCCCATATAAGATGATATCAATTATCTATTGTTCATACAAGAGCTGAAAATAGCATCCTACAGAATAAGTGTCCTGTTAGTTATCCTTTGGATACAAAAACAAAAACAAAAACAAAAACAAAAACAAAAACCCAAACCCTTTGTGATGGAGTCGATTCCGACTGACAGCAGCCCTATAGGACAGATGAGAACTGCCCCATAGGGTTTCCAAGCAGTGGCTGGTGGATTCAAACTGCTGACCTTTTAGTTGTCAGCAGAGCGCTTAACCACTGTGCCACCAGGGCTCCATCCTTTGGATAGTGCATATAAATACCAACTCATATTGCTCTTTAGTTTCTACTATGACATATGATCTATAAGTTAACAGCAAAACAATGAGTCATAAAACCTCACATTAATATCTGGGGCCAAAGTACTAGTAATGTAATTAAGTTTACTAACTTTTAGAAATGTCATTTTTCCCACAGAATAATCTTCAGAATGATAGAAATTTTAGCGATTATCTAGTCCAACACTCCATTTTTACAGATGAGGAAATTGAGGCCTGGTATGGAAATTGGCATCAAAGGGGGAAAAAAGATGAACACTTGGGACCGGCACATCTTCTGGAATGCAGGATCCTAAGTCCTGGATGGGTAGGTGGTTCTGTTAAGGAGTTTGGCGCCTTGGAAAGTAACTATGTTGAAAAATGAGGACGAGGTTCTGGGGAGAAGTTCTGTATGTGAAAAGGACAATTTAACATACAGATATTCTGCGCACAGAAGTTGGGCTAACTTCTGAGTCTGCGGTTGTCTGACAACAGAGGCTTTGCTGGGGAAGGAGGGGTGGGACCACAACCCAGGGAACAAGGCACTCAGTCACCAGAAGGGCTAGAAACGCAAACTCGTTTTTAATCATCAGTTCAGTCTTACTCAATAGGGACAGAAAAGAATGACCTCCTTATCTGCTCATCTGTTTTCCAACAAGCTCAAGATGTAGAAACGAACAAGAGGCCCAGAGGGTTTCTCACTGTGTGTTTTAAAAAACTCCTAAAGATCGAGGATTCCTATTTCTAAATTCCTCCAACTCCAGGGCAGGGAGGAAAGGAGTAGCAGATGTGTTGGTTTTTTTCCATTTATCCCATTCTTGAGAGGCAGTCTGGGCCTAGCTCTGTGCCCTGGCAGGCTGACCTCTATGAATGGTATTCCCTGGGCTACTCTACAGGCTAGCTTTCAGCCAGGTTATCCAATGGGAAGCCTGGCAAGACACAGGAGAGTAGGAAGAGAGAGAAGTCAAGAGTATTTCTTCCTATTCTCTCCTGTGTCTCTTGCCCAGTGGCCCCTTATCAGTGGCTCCCGCTCTCCCTGCTCTGCTAATAGCACTTCCCCCCTTGGCCCCTGCAGGCCTAGGGATGGTAAGCACCTTCCTGGCTGGTTCCCTTTTGCTCCTTCATTCAGTTGACCCATCTGAGTTGGAATCTGTCTCCTGCCAGGACCTTGAATATACACTGAGCCAAGGGATCAACACAGCATCTGATACACCCTTCAATTTATTCGGCAAAACTTTATACTGAAATTTGAGATACTTCATAGAACAGAATGGAAAATTCACGGTTTTAAAATAAATGGACCTTCAAAAAAACAACAATCTTCAAACCCCAGAATATGGCTGCCTCAGCAGTTCACTCTCCTTTGCTCTCCAGAATCTTTAGTGAGAAAGGCTGGTGAAGGATGCTTCACCAGGATGAAAGGACACTGCCCCTGGGGGTATAAGTCTCCAGCTTGGCAAGAAGAAGTAAAATTAGGTGACTTCCTTGATTGTCTCCAGGGAATCAGCTTTCCAGGCTAGAGAGGCAGCAGCAACAACCTGAGCCAGGGAAATGGAGAAGGGATAGGGGAAGGGGAACGAAAATTGCTCAAGAGAGCTAGAGCCAGCAGAAGCGCCGAGAAGAGGCAGGTGACCTAAAGGAAGGAAAGCGGAATCAGAGCATGCTAAGACTGCAGCCTCACAGGGAGATCATTCATCCTCCAGGGACATCTGTTTATAGAGTCCAGTACTTTTATTACTTTTAGAATAAAGAGTCAGCCCTTAGGAAAAGGTCTCCCATTACGTAGCCAGCACATTTTGTGACTCAAGAGGCAGAGAGCTCCGTGACGCACGGTAAAAAAAACTTTCATGAAGTCTGTAATTAAAAAATTCTCTGCACCTAAAATGAAGAAGCATGTTACTTAAAATTAATACACAAGTTTATCTTATTCCCTGACAACGCTGGGTAAAGTAACGGTTAACCATAATCTCTTGGCCGAAATTCCCTTAGCTGAACCCCAGGAGAGAGGAGACTGTGGCCTCCAAGACTCTGAGCACAGAAGGAGAAACTCCTAGGCTCCCAGGAGGGGACAGTGCAAAGTCACTGAGCTCAGGCAGAACCAGCTGGGGAGGTCCTGTTGGCGGCGTCCTCCAGGGACCCCCTCCAAACACCCACTGCATTCCAATCCCCTTCTTCCCCCCGCTCATCTCTCTCATATTAATATGCCTTTGCTAAGCTTTCATTGAAAAACAGGTTCTAAGGCCACAAAAGTTTGAATACTACTGGTTTAGACTGCTGATGTTAGTTTCTACTGAATCGATTCTGACTCATGGCGACCCCATGTTAATCCCAGATAAACACATGCATTGCCTTTACCTTTTAATACCAACCTGATTGTTCTTCTTAAGTGCATTTTTATTCAGACGTAGAAGGCTTGTCTTTCACAACATTTAATCCCAAGCAGAATTACTTTTATATCTAATCACTTAATTTTTTTAAGTTCAAAATTATTAGAAGGCATTAGAAAAACTAATGTTAAGAATTAGAAGACTAATTTGCTTACCTGCTGTCCCCAGCATTGGCCACATACAGCTTCCCCAAGAGGCAAATCACAACGAGGGCTGTGCAGCCACCAGATATATTATATGAACTCCTCTCTTGTTCTATTTGTAGGTCCTGAGGAAGAAAACAGAGTCAGTGCTGAAGTACGCAGGCACTCGTGTCAATGGCTTTGTTAGCCTTACTCCCTTGACACAGCCATAAGGATGAGAAGAGCTCAGCTGCTTCAGGCAGACTCCTCATGGAAAAAGGGAGAGAATTCAGTCATCCAGCATTTACCAGTAACCACTCTGCTCTAGGGCCAGAGATAAATAAATCACCAACGGGTAACTGCGAAAAGTAGAATCACCTGAGCTGGGGACACAGATTTGGGGCAGTGTGTTGGTTGAAAAGCATAGAAAAAGTTTAAGACAATACCTGGGAGAAACCAACATACTGGGAGTAAACTGCGTGATGGGGGATAGGATGGGGTGGCCTTGGAGCCATGAGAGGGGGTACGGATGTGTATGTGTGGGGACATGAGGAAACATTTCAAGAAGGGAGTGGACAACAGCACCAAAGCTGCAGAAAGGTCAAGCATGAGGACTTCCTTCAAAGGACTATATTGAGATTTTACCGTTTACTTAAACTCTATAAATTAGCTTGCTTAGAGGACTGTCATGAGGATTGAATTAGATGGTGTGGTGGCAGGGCTCAGCATACCATCTAGTTCCTTCCCACAGCCTGGAAGTTCCAGGACTGAGAGCAGAGCACTCTCTTGCTCACTGCTAGACCCTCAACATTGCGCACCGGGCCTGGTCAGTGGTCATTAATAAATGTCCGTTAAATGGATAGATGAATATATAAGTTAAACAACGCCAGGGTTTCCAAATTATCTCCCTACCACCCTACCTCTGCCTTAACATGAGAAATGTATTCCACAGATCACAAATGAAAAGCTAAGAATGAAAATACCTACTACTGAGATAATAATTAAGCAGGAACCCATTTCACTTATGTGCAATGAAGTGACAAGAATGAATGAACTTCTACTGCCTGAGGCAAGAGAGTGAAGGGCAGGAGAGACATGAATGTTGGAGGTGAGAAGGATTGTCCCAAGGAAGTGAAAGAGAGGAGAAAGAAGATATTGGAAATTCTGTTTGTTTCAACCTCCAAACCAGGCATCAAAACAGAACCAACAACCCTACCTACAAAGAGTTCCCGTCCAAGTGGATCTGCCTTTTTTTTGGATTTAAATAACTAATATAAAGTTGATATTATAGTAGCTATGTAATTCATCAAATTGATATATAAATGAGCACATAAACTCCATACTCAATTCTGCTGTTTTTAATACGTTAGAAGGAATTGCTCTGGCTACAGAAACCCTCCTTTCCTAACCAGAATCATTATCTGTTTAAACACCTAGAGTCTGAACGAAAGGCAATTTTTATTAAAAATTCCCTGAACATCCAACCACTTGTATCCTGCATAGGGACTGGAATGTGAAGGATTTTAACAGATTTAATCAAATCATTTGCAAAAAGGGAGGAAAACGCTATGGCACACAAACTCCATATAAACGGATTTCTTTGGGACTCAGATAAACAAGTTTATTCTACACCATAGGTGGTCTTATTCCTCATGGCTTCCGTTATAAAAACTGATTATAAAATTATTTAATTCTTAAAAAAAAGGAAAGAAAAGCAACAGGGCAGAGCACCCAACACTGAGACTTCTTGCTACAACAGAGTTTATATTTCCCCTTAATTTTTTGGGAAACATTCCAGTTCACTTACTCAGCTAATCCCTTGCGATTGGGTTAAAAGTGTAATTCAATATTTTTTTCCTAATTGATTTCATTGTTTCTTTAATCTTTTCCTACTTTTCAACTACTTTCACTCTGTAGCTACCGCCAAATAAGGAACACTAAATTTGGCAATACTTTCACATAAATAGTGAATTAAAATCTAACTACTTTTTAGTCAGAAAACTTTGCTAATACGTGCTTGTTCTCATCACCCTCAACCATACAGGTGTAGGAATACACATACAGACACACAAAGGCATCCACACACACACTCTTTAATTACATGTGTGCTCGCTGGGATCACGGTGACAAGGGTTCAAAAGATGCACTTTTATAGACTTCATCCCCTTAAGGATTCACTGACATTAAAATATACTCTTCTATTTGTTCTAAAACTGGATGCAAGTAGAACATATTCTAGAAACAGCCGCTTCCCTCCTACCCTCCCTAGAAGCCAAAATAGCACATTTATTTTTCCTACACCACCTACTCCTCTTTGAAAGATGTTTCACAAAATCTTAGTACTGAAAGGAACGAACGTTAAAGGACCATCTAGGCTCTTCTTTTACTATCAGACCAAGCACGACAGAGGAGGTCAATAAAGATATATTTACCTGTGAATTAACTACCTTTATTTACTCAAACACTCCACCTTTGCAGTTAGCTTAAATTTTTACATTCTAGGATAAAATAAAAATGCATAATTATTACTTAAAAAACCTCCTCAAGTTTGCATATGTCTTCAAAATCATGGGAAAAGTTGCCCACTGCTTTGTACTAGGAAAGAACTGATTTTGAATAGCTCCCACTTTATTTGCTGATGAACATCAATTCTAAGAAATGAGCCCAATAATTTGCCAACAAAACGCAGGCACATATCAAGTATTGTCTAACAGGATCACTTAAATGACTCATAAGGTTCAATTAACAAGATAATTGATTTAAGCTGCTCAAACAAGGTACCAGCCTACTTCTCAAGGCAACTTTCCACTTAGTGGGACTAATTTATCCTATGTTGTGTCTGCTAAATATTACATTTGAGCTGGTTTATCTCTAAATCAAACAGTACACCAAATTTTTAAAGCTTGGGATTTTATTTTGCTCTTTTTTATTGCAAGGAGGAGCAGGAATAGAGAAGGGAAAAAAGAGAAGAGTGTGGAATGAGATTAATTTGGCAGGAAAGAATTGCAAGGCAAAAGACATATTGCCTGGGATGGTCGTAATTTCGTTTGAAAATCCCAGAGATGACGCAACTCCAGGATCATTCTTTGTCTCCTACCAATTTCAGGTTGCAAACAGGAAGCAATATTGGACGACAGAAGGGATCGAGCGTTGGGTAGTTTCAACAGGACCTGGCAGCTCCCCCTAGCTGGGTTAAAACACGGTTCTGGTCACATTGCTAATAGTGTCAGTCATAAATAATAAGATTCTGCATGGTCTTAGTATCCAGGTCTGATCCCAGTTTGTTCTGAGCACAAGCTAGTCTGCCAGCCAGGATGGGGGAGGAAAAAACCCACAACTGCCCGATATTGCCACCTGCTGGCTTTTGGTGGATTCACATGCTCCATTCCTTAGTGGAAGAACTTTCTGCTCTACCAAAAACAAACCAAAGGCAAAACAAAACTCGAGTTTAAATAAAGTAAGATTTTAAAGGAAGACAATTGAAAGATAATGTTCTACATCCTGCTGTGGTGAGTAGCGTCTGGGGTCATAAGAGCTTGGAAGCAGCCATCTAAGATACAACTATTGGTCTCTTCCCCTCTGGAGCAAAGGAAAGTGAAGAAAACCAAAGACTCAAGGAAGCAATTAAGTCCAAAGGACTACTGGCACACGAGCCACAGCCTCCACTAGCCTGAGCTCAGAAGAACTAGATGGTGCCTGGCTACCACCACCGACCGCTCTGACCGGGAACACAACAGGAGGTCCCAGTCAGAGCGGGAGAAAAATGTAGAACAAAATCCATATTCATAAGAAAGATCAGACTCACTGGTCTGATAGAGAACAGAGGAACCAGCCCTAAGACACTCTTCTGACATGGAACTGAAGCCACTCCCAGAGATCACCTTTCTGCCAAATAATAGACAGGCCTATAAAATAAACAATAATATCCGTGAGAACTGGGCTCTTTACAAGCATAAACTATACGAGACCAAAAGGGCAACAACTGCCCAAAAAGCAAAGATGTGAAGGCTGGAAGGGGCAGGGAAACCAGATGAATGGAAAACGGGGATCCAGGGTGGAAATGGGGAGAGTGCTGACATACTGCAAGGATTGCAACCAATGTCATGGAACAATTTATATATGAATTACTGAATGGGAAACTAATATACTATGTAAATTTTCACCTAAAACCAAAACCAACTGCCATCAAGTCAATTCTGACTCACAGCGACCCTACAGGACAGAGCAGAACGACCCCATAGGGTTTCCTAGGCTGTAATCTTTACGGAAGCAGACCGCCACATCTTTCTCCCACTGAGTGGCTGGTGGGTTTGACCACTAACCTTTCAGTTAGCAGCTGAGTGCTTAACCACAGTGCCACCAGGGCTTCTGAAACTTCCACCTAAAGTACAATAAAATCTTAAAAAAACAGAAACTTTAAAATTTAGTCTCCAACTAACCATAAATATGCCAATTTTGGAAACACTAGCATTTATAAACTATGAATAAACTCTGCATTCATCCCTGTGTTTTCCACTATAGTGTTATCATGTATTTAGACAGTTTTTAACCAAAAGTCAAGCAGCCTGCTATTTCCAACCATCTACTCAGTAACAGGAGGTGCTTATGGTACTTTAACAGGTAAAATATTCTCCTTTTTCTCCCTTTATAGTAACCAAACTTCTTAAACATCCTTCATCGTGGCAGGGAATCTATACTCACAGTTGTTACTAGGTGCCATTGAGTTGGTTCCGACTCATAGTGACCCTGTGTACAAAAGAACCAAACACTGCCCGGTCCTGTGTCGTCCTCACAATTGTTATGCTTGAGCCCACTGGTGCAGCCACTGTGTCAGTCCATCTCCTTGAGGGTCTTACTCTTTTTCGATAACCCTATATTTAACCAAGCATGATGTCCTTCTCCAGGGACTGATCCCTTTTAATAACATGTCCAAAGTATGTGAGACGTAGTCTCATCATCCTTGCTTCTTAGAAACGTTCTTATTGTACTTCTTCCAAGACAGATTTATTCATTTTTTTGACAGTCCATGGTACATTCAATATTCTTCGCCAACACAATTCAAAGGCATCAATTCTTCTTCTGTCTTCCTTATTTATTGTCCAGCTTTCAGATACATACAGATACATATGAGGGGACCGAAAACATC